CACGGGGCTAGCTGGGGGGCATGGAAGAGCAGAAACACAGCTAGCCGGGGGCACAGAAGTAGGGGAAGAGCATGCTCCCTCTGTCCCTGCCGTAGTCTTTCTGCAGGAAGCCAGACCTGCAGATGAGGAGGGGGTGAAGTCCTGGGGCTGACATTCTGCACAGCATCTTCTCTCCCAAGCTTGCTGGCAACTCAGTTAAGTCATCATCATGTTACACAGATTCCCCTTGGTGCTGAGTAAGGGCCTCTATGTGGATAGCCTTGGCTTCCAGCACACCCACCGAGAACTACAGGCCAGCCCACCCCCTGCTGCTGATGTGGGGAACACCCTCCCATCCATCCAATCATAGAATATTAGGGTTGAAAGGGACCTCAGGAGGTCATCTAGTCCAACCCCCTGCTCAAAGCAGGACCAATCCCCAACTAAATCATCCCAGCCAGGGCTTTGTCAAGCCCTGACCTTAAAAACCTCCAAGGAAGGAGATTCCACCACCTCCCTAGGTAACCTATTCCAGTGCTTCACCACCCTCCTAGTGAAAAAGTTTTTCCTAATATTCAACCTAAACCTCCCCCACTGCAACCTGAGACCATTACTCCTTGTTCTGTCATCTGGTGCCACTGAGAACAGTCTAGATCCATCCTCTTTGGAACCCCCTTTCAGGTAGTTGAAAGCAGCTATCAAATCTCCCCTCATTCTTCTCTTCTGCAGACTAAACAATCCCAGTTCCCTCAGCCGCTCCTCATAAGTCATGTGCTCCAGCCCCCTAATCATTTTTGTTGTCCTCCGCTGGACTCTTTCCAATTTTTCCAATGACTGCGGTGTGCCCTGAAACAGCAGCTGCTTCCTACCTTCATTTCAGAGAAGTTGCAATTCACTCTGTAAAGCACTTTGGGACGAAGAGATCTGTTTGAATGTAAATTGTTGTTACCAATTAAATACATTATCAAAAAATTCAGTGTGCAAACAATCCTATTCACAAAGCGAAAGCTCTTGAGAAATATGCCTGTCTTGGGGAGAATGAGAGGAAATGAGGACTAAAGAAGGGAGATTTTATTTAGAAGTTACTGTTCACGAAGTCAATTAAAAATAATTGTTTTTTGTATTATGCTAATTCCTATGGTTCCAGGTCATGGATCAGGGACCGTTGTGCCAGGCACTGCACAAACACAGAACACAAAGAACTTGCACTCTGAGTAGTGAGATGGGATGTAAGGTGGCTGCATACAGATGGTGGAGTGCAAGGTAGAAATGACACACTAGTCAGCACAACAGGCACTGGTCACAGCACACCGGCTGCCGAACTTCTGTTAAGTTTTTTTGTATGCATCATGACAGAGGAGAGCTTTGAGGAGGGACTTGAAGGACAATGATGTGGCTTTGCAGATGTTCGGGGGAAGGTCCTTCCAGACATGAAGAGGCAGCACAAGACAAAGCATCAAGGTGCTGATTCAAAATGGAACAAAAGGGGCGATTGAGGCAGGCATCATTGGTGGAGTGGAGTCAGGAATTGACAACTTAATAGCACCCAAGAGATGACAGGCCGTGCAAAGGGGCCTTAAAAGCAAAGGTGAGTAGTTTGTGTTTGATACAGTGGGAAAGGGGGAGCCAATGGAGAGATGGAAAGGGAGGGTGACGTGACCAATGAAATGATCTTTGCAGCAGTGTTTTGAATGGGTGTTAAGCGGGGCACGATGGGCCTTGTCAAGGCCTGAGGAGGGGGAGGCTGCCGTAGTTGAAAGGTCTGGATACGAGTGTTAGCTGTGTGGACAGAGAAGAAAGGCCAGATCTTCAATATTTAAACATTTATATTGCAGCAGTGCCTAGAGACCACCCACGTCAGAGCTCCATGGCACTAGGTGCTGTGCAATCCCAGCAAATGACTGTCTGACCGTTGCTGTCAAAGAGCTTTAAAAAGTCAAGCATCAAATCAAAACGTTGTTTTCTTTGTATAATTTAGTGCCCAATGCAACAAGGGTGCCATCTTTGAGAACAGTTGTACTTAGCAAAGCAAGACACTTGGGATGGCTTCTTAGTGCCATCAGAAATCATCACCAAGACTATCTGCATCCTGGCTAGCCAGGATGGGCAGGGATGCAAGCCTATACTCTCAGTGTCCCTGGCCCCCCTGTTTGACAGAAGCTGGGAGTGCGTGATTGGGAATGGTCAGGTGATGGATCACTCGATGATTGCCTGTTCTGTTCATTCCCTCTGAAGCACCTGGCATTGGCCACTGTTGGAAGCCAGGATACTGGGCTAGATGGACCATTGGTCTGACCCAGTATGGCTGTTCTTATGGCATAGAGAAATCCAAAAGATGAGGATAGGGCTGTGATAGAGAGGGAATTCCTACTGTTCACACAAACATACACACCATGTAATTCTATTACAGGACAAATGTATTTGACAATAGTCATAACACTTTCTCTCCCAATAAAGGACACCCAGCAATCATTTTAACAGAATTTTTTTTACTGACTCACCACTCTTGGTACATTAATACTCTTTCAGAAGCTTGAAAGCAAACATAACATTTCTTAGCAGTTTTGTTCTTCGACACTTGGCAAATTCCTGATTTCTCCCACTATGTGGCTTATGGAACGAGCACCAACTGAGCAAAGAATTGTTCACCTGCTTATTTATCTAAAGGATCAGTGATGTCAGCAGAGTTCTGGGTACAACGGCCTAGTCTTGGCAAAGTGCTCAATACCTGATGGGAATGGTGCCAGAATTTGTTAGTTGACAGGTGAACTGAAAGACATGTTACTTCCTAAGATCTGGGTCCAATGTTTCACCTGCAACAGTTGATGTTATCACTAATGCCCAGGGCTGGAAGGAGCAGCATTCTTTATGCTGCTTTAGGAACTAGTGATGCTATCAACTGGGGTAGGGGTAAATAACCCAGGTATCAGGGCTTAGCAAGTAAGAATGGGAAGGGAAGGGCTGATTTTTAATTGTTTTGGGCCAAGTCTGGCCAGAAGCATGGCTATGCTTTAAGGCCTTGATTCACCAAAGCACTTGAAGTTACACATGTGCCTAAATCCATCCCTATTTAGCAAAGCACTTAAGCATTCTTAAGTCCCTATGAAGTCATTTAACTTTAAGCTTGTATGTTCTGCTGAACAGAGATGGATTTAAGCACACATGCAAGTGCTTTGCTGAACCAGGACTTAAATGTCTTGGTAGGAGAGTGACAGATTAAAAATAAACCAAGAAACAAAATAATCCCTTGCATCAGAAGATGTTTCCCAACATATCATCAGTGAAATTTTGCTCTCAGTTACTGGCGTAAATCTGGAGTAAATCTTCTGGATGAGTTTGCCATTTTTGCAACAGTCCTGTGTACCAAGAAACACACCTGGGTTTAATTTCACTTTTTTATTATTCAACATTTTATACATAATAAATACAAACTTTTTACAGCCAATATAAAGAAAGCATTTGCACCTATGCTTTCAGTGTATTGACACTGTACATGGTGATGCATCGAATACATGCCCTGTATGAAGAAGTCATAGTTAAAAAGGAGGCATATTTTTACAACTTTTCTTATTTTTTTTTAAATAAAAGTAGCAGCTCTTACAGAAAATATTTTAAAATACAACTAAAGATATTTAATATAACACTTTCTGAATTTTGAAAGTCCGGGTATGAAGGACACAGAAAAACTGGCCAAGAAAACTGAACATTAACATTATGGCAGTACTTGCTTTTCTTCTGCATCTTGAAGCTTTTAAAATTTTTGCCAACAGTTAAATCTTTTAAAAAACTTTTTTTTTAAACTTAAGAATAAGTTTGATAAACACATAAAAAGACCTCAAACAGATCAACAGGACGAGAGATGCAAAAGAATGAAAAACATGGAAAAGAATCTTCAATGGACAGTCATAGATTTCATGACTGACCGATGACATTTTTCTTCAAACAGCTCCACTCTAAGTTAACATCCCACTGGGAGAAGAGATTGGCAAATACTAATGTTTCAGACACCCAGCTTGGATTGTGATTTACAAGTATGTGCAAAGTTTATGATAAAATGTTGTAAAATGATTTCGTAAATGCAGCCTCAAAAACAAAAAAAAAAAGCCCTTGTAAGTTAACTAAATGTAGACACTTAATTTACTGGCTTAGGAAAAATATGAACACACAAAAGTGCATTCAGTATAACCCATATAATAGCTCTTAAATGTTTTGTAGGTGGTTTTTCCATGAAGCTTTGACCCTCTGGGTATTGCTATTTTCAGAACAGTTTAATGATCATATTTAGAGAAACAACCATTTTCCCCTGGGATGAAGGATTCCCCTCCTCTCTTTACCCATTTTTATTCATGTTACAACACAAAATACCCCCACTTTTCTAAAATATCAACAGTTCCTTTCTATAGAGAAATCTGGTGGAATTTTACCCTTGAAGTCCTTGTACTCCCTATATCTTGCATAAAAGTAATTTGAGTTCTTAATCTCCTCTACTCCTTTCACCCCAAAAGATGGTTTCTGAAGGACTGGAGTAGGCCATGGATTTCCTGGTTCTCTGGTCTTGGCTAGAGAATGGGCTTTGCATGGAGAAATACAATGGGACTATCCAAAGCGGACACTAAATAATACATGTAAGTATTCTGAATGACACTTCTAACTCTAGCCAGATGTTTTGATGGCAAAGATATACTGATAATGCTGATAATAAAGTACACGGCAATAACTGGGATAAAAATTACCCACCTACTAAAAAAAAAAATCTGCTAAGAAAAAAATGAACCTCAATTTCCAGATCTAGACAAAATGTCACTTTTCTACAGGTTGGTTTATGCTATAGAACAAGATGTTGCTACTAATTCAGCACCTCCTTATTAGATACTCTATTACTAAATGAACTGCATAAATATTAATACAAAGAATATTTTGTTCTGTTTTTTAATTATCGAAGAGGTGTGCATGAATGCAATTAACGCCATATGATCTGCAGCACTTTTCCTGATCTGTAAGATTATTTTCCTTTTTTTCCCTTCTTTGAGGGGATGAAAGAGGAGCCAGCCTCATCTTAAACCTATTCTTTTGTTCCCTTTTTTATTCCATAAAATCTGATTACTATTTAATCAGACACATAATGCTAGTTGAATTGAAAATCTTTAACACATTCCTACAGCAACAGTAATATACTGTACTAATGCACATGGTATAAGTATGCTATGACTAAGTTGCATGAATGAGGCTCTCTCCTAGACCTCCATATAAAAACTGACCATCTTTAGCCAAAAGAGAAACCCGCTCCAACGCATTCCTCTGCTCACCACTTGGCCCATCTTGGTTTGTGCTAAGGGAGGAAGGAGGATGTATATAAAAACAAAAAAGGCACAAAATATTCATGACTGAGGGAAGGAATCCACCATGTCACTGTCACCTATAATCCTCCCCACTTCGTGCTCTATGGAAAGTCTTCATCATGCAAAGGTGCCTAAAAACAAGATTGACCAAACACCACATTTGGCCTTGATTGTAGCACTACTACTTCACTAGTCCAATCATTATACCAGAGTAATTTCCACATCTTCTATCTTCTCCGTCGTCCTGCGATGGTGTGTAGGGGGAGGAGGAGCGGCTCGTACCTGAAATGAGCAACACACACCTGTAACTACCAGAAGACGTATCATGAAGTTTCGTAAGGTGGGTGAGGTAATATCTTTTATTGAATCAACTTCTGGGACCAACACGGCTACAACACGATATACGTGACGTTCCATGGCTTATATAGACTAAAACCAGAAACACTTGGCCAGACTCTCAAGCTGGTGTAAGCAGGTGTACCTCTATTCAAGTCAAAGAGGCTACACTTACTTACACTAGCTGAGGATCTGGCCCATGCAATGAGGCCATCACTGATATCTGTTCTAGAATTGCTAGGGAAATCTGACTGTCTAAACTTAACTGTGGCTTGATTTATAACTTTAAAACCCCCAAATCTCTTGATTTCAAAGTAATCCCAACAGATGGATTTTGAATTTTTCAGCTAATAAATTCCCTCCTTCCTCGTTCGGCAAAATCTCTTTGTAGGTAGCCCAGACTTCTCAAAACGTATTAGATCTTAGTATTAGGAGCTCCTCATCAGAGGACCCATGGGGGGGGGTTACAAATGAGCTTAACCCTGATGTAAAGGCACCAACAGGACCACATGCTGAGACAGACTGCTGGCAAACAGATTTCTCTGCCAACCCCTTTTTGTGGTTGGCAACACAAAATCTCTGAAAAACATGTGTACAAAGTACAGGATCCAGCTGCTCCAGCACCTATATTTGTCAGTCTTTGAATTCTATTATTTATATGTATTGCACTAATATACACAGACATGATTATTACTCACAGAGTACTAGCTATGTAAAAAGGGAAACAATCCTCCAAAGCTTGAAGTAGCCATGCAAGATTAAAACTAGCACCTATTATTTTTTATTATTGTAGATCTGATTTTGGTTTCCATGATTCAAAATTTAGGTGTTTAGGAAGGTAAATATCAACCCCTAGATTAGATAGAAAGTGAATTATTAATAAGATCCAAGGTCATCGTTAAACACATCATGACCCATTGTGTAACTAGGTGCAGCTTTGTTTTATTGTGCTATTTACTTATCTAACTTCCTGTCATACACATCAGGTAGCTTTTTGACACATCTGTGTTCCACTCCACAACATGTGAACAAGCCTTCCTTAGGATATTTTTTTCTGGGGATAATATGTTTGCATATTTATTAACCTGACAGATAGGACTTATAATAGGATGTGAAGAATATGGTGGCCCAGATTCTCAGCTGGGGTATCAACATCGTTCCACTGGCTTCAATGGAGCGATGCTGATTTGTATCAGCTGAGGGTCTGGCCCAGTTTATATAATATTACCACATCACTAAACCCAGCAACACTTGAAGCTTACAGGTCGCAGTTTGCCGTATGAGGTTTCAGGAGCAAGTCGTGGAGGCTGGGAGAATCCAGGAGAATCTGAGCCGAAACTATTTTCTGAAAGAGTGAACAATAAAAACCAAAGCATTGTGTGTGTGACTGAACCAGCTGAATATTGTGAAAAGAACATGTTTCTACTGCAATCTGAAATGTTAATTAAAACAAACATTTGGATATAATGTTTCTTGTACTAGCAAAAAATCTCTTACCGTTAGTTGATGGTGACCTGGGGAAGTACTGGGAGCCCCTCTTATCAGGACTATGGTAGGGACTAATCGGTGGCTGGTCATACAGCGGCAAGAGTGGAAGGGAATTGTGAGGCTTTGGGGATATCTGTGTGACAGAGGAAAAGAGATGCTGCAGAGATTCATTCTTCAGCAAGTTCAATGAATACACAGGTATATACTCACTAACTGACACACAGGTATCCCAATTGCTTTAATCTAGTGAGAAGTTGTATCTGTCAGATAAAAGTGCTTATTAGCTGTATTTGGGGAGAAGAGAGAGGATATAATATAGCGATTAAAAAAAAATCACAAGTGGTTATGCCGAGCAGATTTTTCCTCATTTCCCCAGCAGTTGTAATCTAGACAGGTTTTGTCTGAAGATTGTTTTAAAAACATCTCAGCCTGCTGAGCGCATCTCGCCAAATACACCTCCACAAAATAATGTTCATGATCATGAGTTTTATCATTGCTTGACAGCATGTAAGTCATTTAAATGCAGAGAGGAATAAAAAGTAGGAATAATGAAACTCTCGCATTTTACTGCAATAAGGCATCAGTAAGAAGTAGAAGTTAGTTTTCTATAGCATTTCTATAGCATTGTAAGTGCATGCGATGCTTTACAACAGGTAGTTATGCTAAACCCTACCACACACTGCTTATAATTTAAAAAAACAGTGGACACATTGCAGTGAACAGACTGCCATGTGCCCATTATTGCTGATAAGCTTCTAGCAACAGGTGAGGAGGAGATGGAGAAGAGGGGATGGGAGCTTTTAATATTGGGAGACTGTTCCAAGCATAAGGGGTGGTAAAGAGGAAAGCATGATTTCATTATCCGTTTGTCTAGAAAGTATTACCGTTATCTTTTTAATCATTATCACAAGCTAGAAAAAAAATTGCTTGTATAAAAACTGCAAGTCCTACCAAATTGCAACACAGCCTGTATTCTGACATTTTTATATCTGATTCTGCCAAGCTCTTGCATGGCTCAATCAGGAGAAATGAGTTGTACAATATTGTGGTTGTACATACAGTAACTCCTCACTTAAAGTCGTCCCGGTTAACTTTGTTTCATTGTTATGTTGCTGATCAATTAGGGAACATGCTCGTTTAAAGTTGCGCAATGCTGCCTTATAATGTTGTTTGGCAGCTGCCTGCTTTGTTCACTGCTTGCAGAAAGAGCAGCCCGTTGGAGCTAGCTGGTGGGGGCTTGGAAACAGGGTGGACCGGCAGCCCCCCTATCAGCTCCCCGCTCCCCTAAGTTCCCTGTGTGGCAGCCGTCCAGCAGGCTATCAATGCCGGCAATTCAGTTGTCCCTCCTCCCACTCCCATGTGCTGCTCCTGCCCTCTGCCTTGGAGCTGCTCCAGGGAGCCTCCTGCTTGCTGGCGGGGAGGGGGGAGAAGGGGAGGAAAGGGAGGCTAATATCAGGGTGTCCCCCTACCCCCCCACCCGCTCACCCTATCTCCATAGAGCGGGGGAGGGCGGGACACGACAGGGCTCAGGATGGAAGAAGCTTGCAGGCAGCAGCTGGTGTCTCAACTTCCTGATCTAAAAAGGCAGTGTACTTAGAGTGGGGTCAGCGTACTTAAAGGGGCAATGCGCATCTCTCTGTCTCTCACACATGGTGTGTGCCTCTGTCTGCCATTCTGTCTCCCCTCCCTCCATTCGTGCTGCTTTGTAGAGTGTGAGGCTACATTAACAACATGTTAACCCTTGAGGGCTCAGCTGAGTTCTAGTTCATCATTTAGCAGTAAGGCATTCCCTGGGAAATATCCCATCCTCTGACTCTACCACCTCAACCAAGCTGCACAATCATCATTGCTGGGTACAGTATTACATTGTTTGTTTAAAGCTTATACTGTGTGTGTATATATATATATAGAATATAGTCTTTTGTCTGGTGAAATTTTTTTCCCTGGAACCTAACCCTCCCCCCGCCCCCCATTTATATTAATTCTTATGGGGAAATTGGATTCGCTTAACATTGTTTTGCTTAAAGTCGCATTTTTCAGGAACATAACTACAATGTTAAGCGAGGAGTTACTGTATCTGACTCTAAGAGCATCCCTGTGCCAGAAGGCAAGAGGCTCCCAGGTATCTCTAGCTGTGAATTTAGGCTGGGTTGACCAACTCAGTGTACCCCAACTCACTATCGTTATAATCCGTATCTAAAAGGTCTCATGTGATATGTCACTGGAAAACTTATTAGTTTTGTCATACGTCACTGATCATCAATATTCTTGCATTACAGATGTATGGACAATCAAAAAAGGATTATACAGATATGCTGCAACTATGACTAAACTGTGTTTAAACCAGGAATGTCAAGGGGAGTTGATAAACATTTTTTCCCCAGACAAAGGAATATGGTTCTGCCCGCTTGAATGTGTCTCCCATGTAAATTGAGCAAGGTGTGACCAAAGACAAAGAACATTTGTATGCCAGGCAAACAAGGCCACCACAAGAGCAAGTGGGGAAAAAGTGATCACCTAATCTCAGCAGGGGATGGGGACTGCACTCCCAGGAAGCCTTTCTGCCTCTTGAAGCAGGGTCAATGAACTTTTAGAGATACACTTTTCAAAGGTTTACTGGACTATAAAGAGAGGGGCAGAGAACCCCTAAGTTATCCTTCATCTGAGCAGACAAGGAAAACCCCAGCCTTGGACCATGTGGGGCTCCTGACTCAGAGCTAGTCAGCCATTGCTGGAAAAAGAAGATTGGTGAGGAAACTATTTTGAAGAAAGACTGTGGAGCTTGTTATGATAGATCCTAGCCATTAGAAAGCGTATTTTTACTTTTGTTTGTTTATATCCCTTTCTCTCTTTATCCCTTGTACTTGAACTCGCTTGAAACATCTCTCTTTTTGTTTTACTTTTTATCTAAACAAACCCAGTGTGCTTTGATTGAACTGACGTGATTGTTAACTCCAGTCAAGATAACAAACTGCTGTTTCTGTCTCATTAAGTTGGCAGCTGCTTTAAAATGTTCTGTGAATATACACTTGTAGGGGCTGTGCGTTGCAGAGACACATCTCGGAGGAATTCGGGGGCTGGAGTTCACTGACTGTTACCTGCTAGGCAAGGTTTGGGCTGGGAGAGCCCCGAGGAGTTTGCTGGCAAGGCAGACAAGCTGGTGTGTTGGGAGTTGTCATACTGCGTAGCTGCAGCAAAGTTCCCACCTGCTGAGGCTGAGGGAGATACCCTGAGCTGTGAGACACGTTCTATCCCCAGCAGCTTGTCACAACTTATTTCTCATGTCAATTTGTATGGTCACTTCTCAAAGAGAAACAATAAAAAGCACTAGATAAATTACCCTCTGGTGAAGGCACTGAATTTTGATTTCTAGCAACACTGTTTTTGTAAATAAGAAAGTGTTAATTATTTATTATGATATAAATTGATTAAATACAATATCAATTAGTGTATATTTTTAGATCATAACATTGCACTAAGCTGAGGATGTACTTGTTAAAATCCTACAGCTGAATGTTTTGCCCTCTAAAACTTTGTGAAAGTATTGTACAGCTTTAGATATGAAAGCATTAAGATACGATTGTCTGAGCTGATAATATTGTTTTTGCCAGGGTCTGGTTGATCTCTCGATCTACTCCATAAATTAGTTATAGGAAGGAGACTGAGAATTTCCTCCTTGGTTCATTTCCTTTCTCCTCTAACCATCCCTTTATTCTGTGCACAAATCTCTTATGATTGCCACAATACATCATTTGATGATTATTATATATTGGGTCACACAATAAAGGAAAGCAGTTACTTTTTTTTTTTTTTTTTTTGTACGGATAGGAGGTTCCTGCAGCCCTTTTCCTTTTTCCTTGCTTTGAATCCCATGTTCTTCTAGTAGCCACCACCCTCCAACAAAAAAGACACCTGGAGCTTGTCAAAGCTCTTCACTAACTGGAGAGAAGAGGACACTATACAGAAATGCCTGGGTCTCCTGTGTGGCAATGTACAGTTCTAGCAAACCAGGCCCAAGCTTCATTTTTCACATACCTGAATATCTCCAGTCCACTGAGTCTCTCCATTTTCTGAGGCTGTAAGTTCTTCCACTAACACAGATGGGAAAACCCCAACACGACCATTGAATTCCCCCTCCCAGAAGCCATCATCATCCTGGTTCTCCTTGTTCAAGATACGGATGATTGCTCCTTCTGGGAAGGACAGCTCGTCATCTGTCTGGCTCTCATAATCATAAAGTGCTTTTACAAAACAGACTAGATTGGGAGATGAAAGAGATTATAATCAGAATGAGCTACATTTTTTTAAAATGCACAGTATACATCTTTGCTAAACTGAAAAGGACTTTAGTTTTACTTTAGTGTGACTAATGTTGACAATCACAGCCTTATGAGACATATCTAGACACATCTGGTAGATTCCAGACATGGACACGGGTACTAATGCAAATGGTTGCCCTCAGGTAAGGAGATACCTGCCTCAAACCCCGGGCATACCATTCATCTGGAGCAAGAGAACATTATCAAGAATAAAACTAACAGGCATGTTTTATTTATTAGTATTTACCGCTGGAGTCTCCATTTAGGCTTCCTGAGACTAGCTCAGCTTCAGCTGAATTATTTGAGGTGTGTGACCGACTATCCAACGCCGCAAGCGATTGCAGCATACTCAACAGACTGTTGGAGGTTGGGAACTGCAGATACTTCTCTGGCACATAACCCACTTGGCCTGCTTTATTTCGCGCCTGTAAGTAAACCGGATGAAAATGTATCTAGTTTTTGCATACTGCTGTAAAAGACCATAATGAGAAACAAAAACAGATCTTCCAGTCCCCTTTCAAAATTCTATAAAGGAAGGAAAATGAGCAAGGAAAATTATACCTTTACCCAGTCTTCCATGTCTCCATCTTCAATCACTTCCAATACCTCATGTTCCTCAATGGTCAGTTCATCTGGCTGAGAAGCCTGGAATGTACAAAGGTCATATGTGAAATGAAGAACATTACTTGCCAGGTATGTGCCCGTCACAGAAACCAGAAATTTAAAGGGAAACTGTCATCTTCAATATTTTTTACACTAACTTAAAAAAATATATAAAGTTTTGATACAGACCCCTATAAATTGTATGTCCTGGATTTTTATTAAAAAAAAAAAACCCTTTGAAAACATTTTAATAAGGGGTTTTTCTATTCTCTTACTAATATTTATAAGTAAGTTTTTCAGTCAAGGAGAGCAAGTGCCTCCAAGAACACTACCACCTACTGTGCTCATGCCTATTTAATTCTGTAAAATTTATTACTAAAATGATTAGTGATTCATTGGTACAAAAGACACCATGTGAAAGACGGCATACACGTGTCTAACGTTAAGCATGTGAGTAGGCCCAATGAAGTTAATGGGACTACCCACACACTTAAAGTTAGACGTGTCTAAGTACCTTGCTGAACTGGAGCCTACATGTGGTTAACAACTTTATAAACTTGCTAAAAGTTTATTAACTTTTACAATAATAAATTTATAGCATTACTATAACTTTACACATTTAATGTATATTATTATTGGGCTAAATCTTGAGGTCCTTTCTTGGGCAAACTCCCACAGACATCATTATTATAAAGTTTATTATATGTTTCTGTGATAACTCACCTACTGATAAGAATTTGAGATTTTTAAAAAATACAAACCTTATATGAATAAACGACTTTGCAGGTCAGTGGATAATTTCGTAGAGTTCCAGAAGGACTGGAACTACTATCATCAAAAACATCCATGCTGTCTTCAAATTCTTCCCCTTCCTCCCTTTCTGCATCAGCATTAAGCTATTAAGAGAAATTAATTTGTAACTGTATTGGATTATAAAAAGAAGATGAAAAAACAACAGTAAAATTAATGGTTTAGGTTCTATAGTAACTCCAGCCACTTGAAATTCTAGATTCCAAATCTGCTGGTGATTGAGTAGTGCTCCAATTTAAGTTTCTATCTTTGAAAAATGCCAAAGGAGAAATGCCACCACTAAAAATCAGTACACTTGTTCTCCAAATAACTTCAGGAAAGTAGTAATCCGTTTGAGCAAATATCCGGAAGCAAAGAATGCAAGTTATCAATTAACAGCATCTCTTAACTGAAGAGCAGGCACCTGTGTTTTAAACATACATTAAACCTTCACTGTAAGAATACTGCTGGATTGTAGGGCTCAAGTGTTTGGAAAAGAGTACAGTTATGTGGAGGTATTAAGGAAGTGACAAGTCCCAAGTACAGTAGCCATTCTTCAGATTACCATATAAAGTTTAATGGAGAAAGAATAATGTACTTTAGAACCACATTGTTAAAAGAACGATGAACCTAAATGAAGCTGCACTAAGAATGAAGTGCTAAAACTTAAAAAACAAAACAAAACAAAAACACCAGCTTTCCTTCAAGTGTATTGCTGACAAAGTAATTACTTCAGTTTTTCAGTACAGTTTATATGGAAAAAAAGGTCCGTAGGGGAAGAAGAAGAATTAAAATAAAAAGTATTTATAAAAAGCTAAATAAAGGCAGAAGTGGGTAGGCTGGAAAAAACACAAGTTTCTGTAAACATAGTTTGAGCAGTGATGACACGCACTGTACTTTGGTTTTGTGCCTGGATTAAACACTGGATAAACATTCTACCTCATGAAAAAAAAAACACCACCTTTCAAAACCAAAGGGAACACTGCTAGATTTTACAATTCTTAAACTTTTTATTTATTCTTTTTAATTTGTTTAATTTAGTGAATTTTGTGCTCCTCATGAAAGCAAGAAGGCAGGCCGCACAGCACAGCCAGGTGTAGGGCAGACAGCTACTGTGCAGACTTCCCAAATCTGTTCTGCCAAAACACTTCAGGCCACACCTGCAACATCCTTGCTATTCTAGTCTTGGTCATTGCCTGAGCAGAATGACATAGGATGTGGGGATTTTGTGATACAGACTGATGTTTACAGCTTTGCCTGGGAGCAACCAACTCATTTTCTCATTTTACCTCAGCCATATTTGAAGCTGGGTAGTGCACTAACTAAATCCACTGTACTAATTATTTTGACCGGATTATAGCTTTGTAATTCATATGAATTTAGACCGGTCTTTTCCACTGAAGTCCAGTTTGCATCCATTTCTGACTGAATGTTAACAGAGACTGCTGTAACAAAAAGTATTGAATATTCTATCTAGTTAACACACTGGCTTTTTTAATTTGACATTCCGTAGATTAAGGTAAAATTCAAGATCTTCACAGTTCCTACAAATGTCATTTGCTAAGCCTGGTCTCCCTCAAAGCAGCCACTGCTGAACCTGCAGCTGAGAGCCATATGAAACATCATGGAAAATAGCGTATCCTGTTTAGAAATACTTGTTCATAAAACATCTGGTCCTGGTTTTCTAATATAAAGAAGAAAAATACATTTTAATGTTGACAGTGTGACTATTCAAAACCCCCTTGACTAGCATCTATTTGAAAAGTAGAGATATAGAACACAAAGAGGAGAAAACAACATTCAAGATACCGAAGCCCTAATGATTTGCTTTATATAGCTTTTCTTTCTATACAAAATCTGCTAATGAATGACAATGTAAACACAGAACAAATATGTCAGCAGCAGGAACATCAAAGGCACACAAACTGAACACAACACAAGAATAAAATCAGATAAAAAAAAAGTATCAGGGCATCATTTACATAACAGTATGTTAGATAATTTAATTATCTTGTCTCAACTATATACACACATACATTTGGGCAGATTTAGTGCTGGTGACTAAATTACTATCTAGAAGTCTTTTATTTATCCTCAGAACAGACAGAGCTCCATCAACAGCAGAAAAAGCTTTTACATCAATGCACCGCTATTCTGACTTGGATGAACAACTTCTAGGAGTGAGAGGAGTTGAGATTTCATACCCACTCACTCCTTTGACAGCTCTGCTGAAACGGCAAAGGTGTCCATCAGTGGCAACTGTGATGTGGGCACCTCTGGCTCAAGACCATTACACAGGGTGCTGAAAAACTATCAAATGATAACGTGGGCTGAATTTGAACCTAAAAGGTGGAAGATACTATCCCATTACAATCATCCAAGCAATCACAGTTCCATGTTCACAGCTAACCGGCCACCTGGAAAGTACACTCATGGTTGTTTGTTTGTTGGTTTTTATTTTCTGTTTTTTTTTAAACTGCACACTAGTTTTGATTATTATCCATCTCAGCGGAGTTGAGAGTCATGAGTGACTACCAAAACCGGGCATCATTCTCTTCCTCTTTCATAGGATAAATAGACTGCGTCATCCCAATTACACTAATACAGAACAGCAGTATCAAACCCATTTTCCAGGTGGCATTAAATCACAAAATTATGACAAAAGCTTTAGCTGGCACCTAAGTAGAATAAATAATTTAGTATTCTGTCCCCAAACTGTGCATTTCTGCATTACACCACAAAGCCAGCCAGCTGGCTATGTGAGGTGACATTGATTCCTTAGGCTTTTTACACTATTGTATCTTTTTAGCCGGTTAAATAAATATTGAGATATCAAGCTGTTTCAGCTACGCTATTTTTTTTATTTATAACTCATTAAAAGACAATTCATTGAGAGCTCTGGCGAACAAATGATCGCATAACAAGACCGGACACAAAGAACACAAACTTTGCTCAGCTATGCATGACAAAGCACAGGTAGAAGGTTAAAGCCTTAACATTAAAAACTGCCTGCTCCTAGGGAGTGAAGTGAAAGTGCATCTCGTATGAAAAACAGAGCAGTAAATTTTTAAAATTGTAAGCAAAGTAATGTCTGTCTGTAACAGCTTTAAGAAATACCATCTATGGGCTGTCCTCATTTGGCCTGCCAAGGTCAATATAATCCTTTATACACAAGGGAGTGTGTATGTGTAAAGGGGGAAAATGGAAATTACATTTTATCCTCCCACGCTGTAGCATCTGCCAGCTTGCGAGGGACTGGCACTAGCTTTAGATGTGGAGCCAACTGTTTGTGTGTCTGATTGGATAGATGAAGGGTACTGGGAAGAATCCAGTTTCTGCAACAGGAAGCTGAAGGAGGTGGGGTAGAAGGAGAAGAAAGGGAAAAAATACAGTTAAACATAGCAATGTAGCTATTCTCATCTATTATAGCTTGAAAGGGCTTAAACCAAAACCCGGATGAGAATGCTCCTGTGCCTTGGGAAGTCTGAAACCTGGCACTGAATTTTGTGAGACTCAGGTCTCTAATTGTAAAACCACCCCTGGGAATGCCTGCCCCAGAGACAGAGTTGTGAGAACAAGAATTGTAAATAGCCTGTAGTATAAATAACTGTTCATAAAGTCTGGAGTACAAGTCCAATATTTTCTGGAAGACAAAGCACAATGCACAGAGAGTGAATTCAGGAGGCTTCCACTGGATTTCTGCTTCTTGTGCAGAAACTAGATGGATGCAGACACGAATTTCCAACAAGAGACTCATCTGTGAGAGTTTGCCACCAGAATACTTGACCATTGACAAGAAAACGGTAAAGATACAAAAGAGCCAAGAAAAGGTGGTAAGCAGATGGGTGTGTGTAAATGCTGCATCCTGGCTGAGCAGGCCCTTCTGTTTCTTGCGGGCAGCCAGGGAAGGAAAGCCCGTCCTCAAAGGCATGAGGCCATAAACTACAAAACCACCCTCCCACCACAAAAAGATTTTGTTTATACTCCAAGTAGTTGTCAAAAACATTAATGTGAAGTGTGAATTTAACCACAAATAGCAAAGGCATTTGCCCACTGCAATTAAAAAAGCACCCCACCCCCCTCCAATTGAGACCAAGTTTGTAAAAGCCTTTGAACTTTACGTGCTTTGCCATATGCTAAGTGGATATATAAAATCTGACATTCTGTTTGAGGCAAACTAACTAAACTTTCAGGAATTTTATTTTTGCCTGCTTCCAATGAAGAGCAACAGACTGGCTAGTTTTACTGCCAATGGTGACATCTCAGCATTGCATGGCATGTAAGAAAAATAAGATTACAAGCTCTTTTTTAGTTCTTTCTGGTTTTTTTAAATAGGATTTCTTGGTTTAGGCAATTTTTATCAGTGTTTGTTAGTGTTTATTTTGAGACACATTATTCTTTGGACAGGGTGAGAGGGAAAAGAAAATTATTAACTTTTCCTGCTTCTTGAATTAGATTAAAAAAATTAATCTCTTCCGAAGTTGAACATCCAAGTAAGTGTGGGAGACTTTTACGGCTTACTTTGCCTACTCCATAAACAACTGTAGACAATACAAAAATGGAAAGTTTGATGCATATTATAGCTAAGGCTAAGATTTTGTCATGGTTATTTTTAGTAAAAGTCATGGACAGGTCACGGGCAACAAACAAAAATTCATGGAAGCTGGGACCTGACTGTGACTTTTGCTGCTGCAGCTCCATGGTTTCCCCCACCACTGTGGTGGCTGGGAGCTGTGGGGTTCCCCCTCTGCCCACAGCGGCTGGGAGCTGCACGGTGACCATATTTCCCAAAGAGAAAATGGGACACCCCCAGCCGCTCGCCTGAGGCGTCCCCATTCCCCTTGTGCGAGGCTGTCGCCCGTCGCTGGAACCCTGAGAAGGGCCCCCTTAGGAGTCTGCCACCTGTCCTGGAACTTTGCAGGGGGCCCCCGTCGCCTGTTGTTGGAACCCTACCAGGGCCCCACTGGCTGCCAGCTCCAGAGTCCTGCAGCCCCTGGGGCTGAAGCAGAGAATGTCACAGAGGTCTCTGGAAGTCCCGGATTCTGACTTCCATGACCTCCGTGACATAAATGTAGCCTTAATTATGGCCTATACATACCTATTCTTGTATTTTTGGATTGGCCTGATTTAATTGCTTTGTAGCTAAACTATTGACATACGGTAAAACGTTCACAAGCGTCTAATGACTTCGGAGCCCAACTCCCACTTTCAAAAGTGACTTAAAGGCACTTAGGAGTGCAAGTCTCAGTGAAAGTCAGTGGAATTTAAGAGATTAAGTGCCTCAGTCACTTTTGAAAATAGGATTTAGGCTCTTAAATCATCTAGGTGTTTTCTAAATTTTATGAATGCTCCCATTCATCCAATTATCCCAAAGAGTATCATACACCATTGATTAAACTTCAACACCCATGTGAGATGGTGTAGTGGGATGGTCACCCTGCTCTGGCCCTGAAGGGGTTAAAAACAGCCCTGGGGAGCCAATAGGAAAAGGCTGGGAGGCAGCCAATCAGGGCCAGGCTGGGCCCTATAAAAGAGCTGTAGGGCCAGAAGGCAGGGCAGTCTCTCTCTAGCCCCGGAGGGAGAGGGCCTTGCTGCCGGGGGACATATAGTACCTGAAGCAGGCAGTGCTGGGGAAAAGAGCAAGAGGAGCTGGGAAGCTCCATTCTGGCAACTCCCCCGGCGGAGGCCTTGGTCAAGGACTAAACAGGTACTGGGGATGCAGAGGTGCAGCTCGGGGATAGGCAGACGCAGCAGGTCTAACCCCCTGGCCATTACAGACTGCAGTTTGCCCCAGTGAGCAGGGGCTAGATGACGACTGGCAGTAGCCACTGAGGGAAGGTGGGTTTAGAGGGTTAGGGGTTCCCTGGAGAGGGGAGACCCAGAGTGTGGGGGTACTGCTGGGACAGAACCCCGAGGTAAAGGGCACCGGGGTCCGGGAGGGACAAGGAGCCAGCGGCAGGTGAGACACTGGCCTGCAGAGGGCGTGCTGTATGCTGGAAAAGAGCTAATTCCCGGATGACCAGCAGGAGGCGCTGCACTGGTGAGTTGTCGCTTCGCTACAGATTGGTATAAAACACCTGATAGGGAAATCAAGGTACATAAAAGTTACACTGAAGTTTTCTAGAGTTAGCTGTCAAACAGCTAAGCTTCCTCAAATTTCTCTCTTCCTGTTTTATCCTGCATTCACTGTGATCTATGTACCAGTGTCCAGGATGCACATTAGCCAAGGTTCAAAGAGAAACAAGAGATCAAGGTTACAAACTGGAGACAGTACCAGTTGTGAAGAGCCATTATTGTTCACTGCAGGAAGGCTTGCCCAGCGTTCATTTTCCAGTTCTTCCATCACTTGATTCATTGCACTCTTCAACCACGTATCAACAGACACCCCTATCTGCTTTAGCAGATCAAGACGAGCCTCTGCTTTGAGTTTTATTATCTGAAAACACAAACATGGAAAATATTATCCAAATTCTTTCACATCTAGATTTAATTTCTTCTCACAATTAAAATACACCCTATTCTAATCCACCAATTAGACTACACAGGAAGCTTAGAAATCAGTTCCACTTGGGAAACAAGTCCAGTTATTCATTTGTTTGCCTGCAGATGCAAAATACCAGCTTATCCAGATTCCAAAATGGGATTTTAAACATCAGGTCCATTCACGTATACACACTTGCTCTTTGTATATTTTATGGGAAATTTGTCATCTTAAAAAAAAAATCAAATTTTAAAACCAATTTTTTACATGTAAGACGCAGAATTACCGGAACTGAAAAATAGGGAGAAAAAATATTTCTCTACTTTTTCTGTAAGTTTACTTTATGCATTTAGCAATACTAAATACAGTTCCCCTCATTTGTGCAAACTTTTCACACTGGAACAGGGAGAGAGAAAATGTTTATAAAAATAGGAAAATGTGACTGTAAAAATTGATGGCAGTATCTGAAACTACTCCTTTTTTAACTGACAATTTCAAGTTGATCGCATCCCTTTCAGAGTAACAAATTAATAAAACAAAAAACACCCCCGCCCCTGCAGTTCACTCATATCTAAAACTGGAAGAGTCTGTGGTTTCGTCCGGTACACAGGAGAAATAGATAACAGCTCTCTGCATGAGTGCAGTTATCATGGGATATGGGGTTTTCAGGAGCTACTGCAGCAAAAGTATACATTACTACTTAGCATTTAATGCTGTGTCTCCAAGTGCTTTAGAATTATTACTACTTGTTTACAGAGGCCTAGAGGTTCCACCTGAGATCAGGGCCCCATTGTATTAGACACTGTACAAATTCACAGTAACACAGTCCCTAACCCAAAGAGCTTACATTTAGATAGACAAGACGAAGGGTGGGGAAGGGAAACTGAGGCACAGAGATGACGTGACTTGCCAATAGCCACACAGCAGGCCAGTGGCAGAGCTTTGACTAGAACCCAGGTCGCCTGACTGCCGGTCCAGTATCGTAGCTACCAGACTACCCTGTTTGCATTTCCCAGTTGGGGAAGCTGCGGAACAAAGATCATGTGATTTACTAACGGTTACAGAGTGATTCAGTGACAGAGGCGGGAGTGGAAACCCATTTAACTGTCTTGTAGTTTTTCCTGTATTTCCTTTCACAGCATTGTTAATTCTTAGCATGTTGCGCCTGAAAAAAGCGGTCTCTTTTCTCTCTTGCCTGGTTCTCCCACTGTGGTCCCAGACAATACATTTTGATATCACTGAATGAATCAGGAGGTAACCAGTCAGAAAGGAGAAAGTTTCTATTTCAGATACAATATGTTGGTAAATCACGAGTAATAATGGGAAGGGAAGCAGAGAACAAGAGTTGGCGAACCGAAGTGGTCTAATGATTTGTTTCAATCTTCAGTTTACTAAAAATTCTCTGGATAATGATCCATTTTCTCCTGCTCAGTGTTCACTGTTTAGCCTAATTTGAAATGGGAATTGCACACTTTGATAAACAGTTATTCTGTTTAACTGTCGTTTCTCTAAAGTAACTCTGTGTACCCAGCTAAAATATTGTTGTGTAACCACTAACAGGAAAACTCCTAAATGACTCAATATACAACGCTACTTCTATACAGTGCAAACAACTAGGCTGACCTATTGTTCCTTCTTCCTCAGTGGTGGAAGCACAGTTGAGTGTACCAAGAATCTGTATTACTCTGTATTAGAACACTAGCTTACTCTACAAGATAGTAATAATTCTTGGATGTAAAAGAATATGCCTAGAAAGTATTAACAATGTTATGGGGATTTGGAATCATGTATCTTGCTTTAGTGTGATGTTGGTCTGGATCCTCAATGATCCTACTTTTAATAAAGAGGATAAATCAGAAAATCTGTAGCATTACTATGAGAAACTGTAGCTATAACAGCTAGAAATCGAACTGAATGGAACGTTATGTTGCCCTGGTGTACATTCTTACCCTGATCAAAAAGAAGCAACAGTGGTAAGTATAAGTCTGTTTCAAATTACAGGACTATTTTAAATTCTTACTTTAAACATGAGTGCAGTTATCACGGGATATAGGGTTTTAAGGAGCTATTGCAGCAAAAGTATATACTACTACTTATCATTTAATGCTTTTTAAAGTAAAAGTAATTTACTAAAAGTAAGAGCACACAAATATAACAGAGGACCTGGAAGAAATTCTGAAGTTCAGGAGAATCTGCCAAGACGCTGTTAGATGCAGATATTGGAGGCTGGGGCAGGAGGAGTTCAAAACACATTTTCCATGGGAAAAGGCCAAAGCCACTGAACCAGGAAGAGTTTCTATTTCTCAGTTAAGCATGCTTAAAAAGCTAAAGATAGTTATCAGACAGCCATTAGTTGAATGATTAATGTATACTGTGGATATATTTCTCATATGCAAACTTTACTACTGAGAAAATAGTAAATTAAAGATGTTAACATGCACCATATGCACTAGGTTATTAAACTTCAAAGAATACTGATTTAAATAGAAGAGGAAGGTAAAAGGAGCTCCTGACACTATAATTGAAGATGGAGCCACATCTATTATTTTATGTTGTAAAATGGGTCCTTCCAATTTATCACAGCATTAAGCATCTCTTAAAATGCCAACAAATCACTGACTGAAGCGCTTGTTTGTACTTTTGTTAATATTTAACAAGTTCTATAGCATAAACAACAGTAAAATGAGAGTAAATCTGGAATTCCCAGGACTCCCAGACAGATCTGGTGAATCTTGCAATTATAAGGAACATGTCATACCTGTGTGTTTCTTTTTGATTGCACCCAATGCTGCAATCTGAGTATTCTGTAAGTAATCTGAGTAAGTCTTGGGTACAGACGGAAGAACTCTTGATTTAACTAAAACAATAAATCTCCTTGTGGGGGCACTCTTATTTCAGTTAAAGATGTTTATATCCATGTATCTTAAATTGATTCCTTACCAAATTAGGCTAAATTGAGATAAGAGATTAACTGAAATCAGAGTGTTTGCACAAGAGGGGCTGCACCAGCTTAACTAAACTGACATAGAAACCAGTATACCTTTCTCATGTAAACAAGGTCTAAGACTAACACTCTACAACACTTTCTAACCACACCTGGCCATAGTTCTCTACAGACACTGGGGGAAGGTGAGTTCTAGTCATCCGAAGGGATTCTTTGGTAATTCATCCATTCCTCTATTTGGAGCTGCCCATTCACTACCTGGCCCTATTCAAGCCAAACACATTTGCTAATGACACCCCACAGTGCTGCCATTTTTCTTAGTTTGTGAGATGAGACAAACCCCTTCTTCAAGTCATTATGTTGCTTTGTTAAGATGGGTTCTCACATGCATACAGTTTTGGAGCAACTTTACCATACCATAATGCATTGCAATGATGTTGTACCAAATGCTACCACATTCTAATACAGTATTACAACATGAAGACTTTTCCCATGCCCTGAAAAATGACACAAGATATGTTTAGACCATAATTTTTGTTGCAGTTTTAATGTAACTTATTCTCAATTAACTTAATATATTCACAGTTATAAACATTAATCTAGGCACCGCACAAACATTTATGGTTTATACTATGCCTCAGACTATGGTAAACCACAAAGTGGGCATTCACCCACGAAAGCTTATGCTCCAATACATCTGTTAGTCTTAAAGGTGCCACAGGACTCTCTGTTGCTTTTTACAGATCCAGACTAACACGGCTACTCCTCTGATACTATGTCCTGTTTGTAGACTGTCTAGGCCAGGGGTTCTCACAACAAATGTTTTGGTGGCCTCAGAGTGCGGTCACCAACTCTGGCTGGTGGCCGTGTTTACAATTTTTCCTAAAATATTTAATTAACTTTAGGAAAAACAAATAAATATGCACATATACATGTCAAAATCACTGTAATTTATTTATGTAGGGTTTTTTGAGACTCAGTAATAAAAATAATTTACAGTTGTCTCTGTTCTTTACTGGACAAACAGAACAGAAACACAAATAAGGTGCTTTGCATGTTCTTGTCTTTTTTGTTGTTTCTTTTGCTTTTTTGGTTGCGCTTTTTTCCCTAAGATTTGCTAGCTCTTAAGTCTACTGCTGTGAAAAGTAATATTTGTTTGTTTGTTAATATCACTTTTTACAGTAGACTTACTCAGCCCTGGGACAAATTAAGCCCTGGATGGGGAGGTGGGCATGGAAGCAGCAGGGCCCAGGGACAATGGGGGGTGGGGGGGAAGTAGGGGGTGGTGTGGACGGAGTCCGAGGCCCCATGGCTGAAGCCTGCCTCCCCTACCCATGGGGAAAGTGGGGAACTCACCAGCTGCCTGTACCCCCAGTGTTTCTGTCTCCGGGGGGGCAAGGCCCAACTGCTGCTGGCAGCCCTCGGAAAAAAGCCACTGCTTTGCGCCCTCGCCCCCCCACCCCCCAGTCACAGTGCAGGAGGCTGTGGCCGCAAGAAAAGGCCCTGGTGCCTGTATGCGGCCTCGGTGGCCGCATTTGAGAAACACTGGTCTAGGCCAGCATTTACAAACCTATTAGCTAACACAAGTCACCCTTTGAGTCCGATGACTGTCCCCAAAGTAGCCTGATCCTATAATGACTGCCCATTGGTAGTCAGCTAATGAGGGGAGTGTGCTAAGGTTCTTGCCCCAGAATCAGACACAACAGAATCAAAATTGACAAGTTCAATATCTTGTAGGGAACCCCGGGGTATATGGCAAGGGCATTCACATGCAGAGCAAAACACAACCTTAACCTCCTTTATTAATACAATTTATAGAGACAAGAAAGCTCCAAACCACATAAGCAAATAGCAATTATAGAGTATTAGAGAAATCTTAAAGGCTATTCCTTGCATAGCATATGCTCATAGACTTATATACTCACACCCCTTTATTGGAGATCTGGTGGTAAAAGGTGAAGAGACAAAGGACCAGCCTGTCTCTGACATGCCAAATGGGTCCGATGGTCCA